CGACCAATCTGGTGGAGAGTATCTCCAGCACACCCAACAGCTGTGAGCTCGTGTTCCTCGTTCCATTTGCATTCAGGACCAGCCAAGGTTCTTTTGTCTCATCACTTATGATGACATCCACAGTTTCTAGTACATTCTGCAGAACAAGAATCAATGGAAAAAATAAGCACTTCTACAGAATAGCTGAGATACAGTACAGTATCTTTTTTTTTCTTTTAAAGATTCAGTTTTACTTGCCTGAATGACATCTTGACTGACATCGGCCACTTGAATGGTGTTTGCAACATTGATTAAAATGTCAACAATGGTAGATATGGTTAGAGATGAGTTAGTAATTTTGGTTTCTTCTTCCTTCACAGTTTTACTGAGATTCGCAACAAAGGTTGGAATTTGCAGCACAAACAAATCCTAATGGGGATGAAAAAGAAGATTTTAGGTGGATATTTTTTCACATGACAAAACTCAAGTCAAACGTTTATTGGGGGGACGTAATGCAAGAATCTTAATGCTTATAACGGGGACTTCCCTACAAACATAGAGAGGACTATAATATTGATTCAAGATGGGGTGTTCCAGAGTCCAAACACAGTAAAACATTATCAACATTATCATTATCACCTCAACTTCTTATATTGTGGAAGTTGTCGACAAGTAGTCTATGTTTGCATAGATCTGTCGCCCAACCTTTTTTGAGCCAATGCACACATATGGGATCATAAAAATCCCCTGACGCACCACAAAACAACAATGTCCAAAAAAGTATATCTAATGAAATATAATGATTTTCTAGTTTAATTCACTCACACTTTACTTAATTATCCTGTTTAGTTGAACATAACACTGATTTACTCGCAGGAATTGAGGAAAGATTTCTTTAACAGCTATGAGTCTCTATTTTTTTTTTTTTTTATAGCCATCGACAGCCACGTTGTCACAGATTATTTAAGTGTTTTGCCTGTCACTGATGCTTACACAAATAAGACATTTTATGCAGTAAATACATTTAAACATATTGTTTATGTATATTTTTGTAAAGCTATATTTACTCTCTCTCATTTTAGTGAGGCCCCAACATTAACTGTACAACCAGAACTAATCAACTAAAAATTTGCGTTAAATATTTCCTATGCCTAAGCAGATAAGGAATCACATTTATGTGACCTACCTCGGAATCAATGAATAGCTCTTTGATTGTTACTAAAACGCAAGCGTCCTCTTGAAGTTCCCATTTCCCTGTGTCCAGACATACGGCGGTCTTGCTCCCTTCTTCACCTTCTTTACATCCCACAGTGGACAAGTCACCGACTCGCCCAGTCCCAAACAGACTATCCTTACAGTTGGCATCTAAATAATTCAAATAAAAAGATTATGGAAGAAAAAATAAAAAGATAGGACACTAGCAGTTTACAAATCAGTGTTTTTACCTTCTGTAAAAATAGTAACCGTCATCTTTCTTTCAAAATTTGAAGGGTTATCAACCCTACAAACAAAGTCTTTCGTGACGTCCGATCCATTGCAATTTTTCAGCGTGTAATCATGCCGTATGCAGTTAGATTGTCCATCATTAACAGGAACTGGAAGTATGAAAAAAAGATTTAAAAAATAAAGTACCTGATGCTTTAACACATTTACTTTAAACATGTTTTCAACTGCACTGCAATTACCAGAAACCAATGGGTCACTGCCTTGGAACCACTTGACTGTGTAGGATTTCTGCACACAGCATAGAAGTGGCTGTATCCTTCCATCAATGCATTTTACATTAAGTTCACTCTGAAGTCTCAAAATAGGAGCCTGTTTGATTTGACTGTCTTGAACGATTCCTTCTTGCTGGAAGTCGACTCCATTGTTGCTGAGAGTGCAAGAATAAATTCCTATAATACAAAGGGGGGATTAGTTTCATTTATAGAGTGGAAAAATGTCGCTTTTAAGTGACTAATCGGCTCCACACTCCTTGATATTCAATACTAATACAACCATGCATATACTGTATTTTCTGGACTCGCTCCAGAATATAAGTCACACCATGCATAATGAAGAAGAAAAAAACATATACAAGTCGCCCCGGAGTACAAGTCGAACCAGTGCCTTCTGGCAGCTGTCAGTGCGAAATTAACGAACATGTACATTTTCAGTGGTACTGGAGTAGCAAATACTGGTACACAAGCCTGTAGTGCCCTCTAGTGGCTGTCAGTGTGAAAATAACAAATATGTGAAATTATATATTTCAATATATAAGTCGCACCTGACTATACAACAACAAACTATCCAACAACAACAAACTATCCTTAGCTCATGGTGTAAGCTACACTGATAGTTATACTCTGCATAGACTTACCACTGTCAGAAGAAATGACGTTGTTGATTTCAAGTAAAGACATATATGAAGATGTGGTTATATTGAATCTTCCACCATCGTTTATTGTCCATCCGTCAAACATCCACTCAGACTTTGTAATATTTCCCAGATAGAAGTTTAGTGGAAGCTTACACTTCAAGATCATCCTATTACCAGTGTAGGTGAGATCTGGAAGGCTAACTGGGATTGGACCTTTCAAGATAAAGCAGAAATATTATTAATTAAATATGTACTCAATTCATAAAAATATATATTTCTTAAACCATAAACCCTGTATGACTTACTGTGATAAAGTGCAGAGACAGAGCCAATGATAGAAGCAATAGGTTTAATTGCCTCAGGGAGGTTTTCATTTTTTTCAGCTATTTCATCGTAGACAACTTGCTTCGTTTGCACATCAAAGTGTGTGATTACACTTCCTTGACTGTAAAACAGGAAATACACCAAAACTGTATTAAGACGTGGTTTAGGATTTCTGCTGGGTTAATATTACTAAACATTCAAATGGGTGTACTTTACCTGAACGACGTGACACCAACGCTGATAAATCCTGTGATCCCTTTGTAATGCTTTTCCAGCTGTGTAGGGAGAATGTTGGTCAATACTAACAAAAAAGCAAGTTGAAAAACAAATCAGTAAAAATAAAAAAAGATTAAAAAAAAACCCCACTTACTGCTTCATTAATCTGTGACGTCAAGGACTGGTACAATGAACTCGAAGGATTTGTTAATTCTGGGGAAAACGTCTTGTCTAATCTCATGGTTATTTCCACATCAAAAACTGATTGGTAAACAAGAATAAAAGTTACTCAGTAGACAACAAACAAACAAACAAAAAATCTCACATTTCAGTTTTTATGACATCCTTACTTTGAGGTGTTGAAGTACTTAGGGAGGGTGTAGTAGGGGTAGATTTGTAAACTGGAGTGGTGGTGTTTGTGAAGGGTGTCGTGATAGTAGTACGTGCTGGGAGAGTAGTGGTACTAGCTGTATTAAGGCTTGTGGTCGTGGTAATAGTACTAGATGTAATCATTTGTGAAGTTGAAGTTGTAGCAGCTGCTGTGGTGTTGGTTGTTGTCAGGGTAGTAGTACTAGTTGAACTCACTGGTGCAGTGGAAGTTGTGTAGGTAGTAGAAGCAATGGTTGTAGTTGTAGTACTGATCGTACTAACTGGTGTGCTGAAAGTAGTCGTATTAGCTGTAGTGGTTGATGTTGAAAGAGTAGAGATATTTGTGACAGGTGGAGTAGTGCCACTTGTGGTACTGTTCATAGTGATACTTGCAGAGGTCGTTGTAGTACTATTGGTCTGTGCAAAGGTGGTGGAATTTGGAGTAGTGGCTGTTGGGGTGGTAGGAGATGTAGTAGTGCTAGCTGTGAAAGTTGGTGTTGTAAAATTGGTCGTAGTTGTCATTGCAGTGGGGGTAGTTGAATTGGTCACTGTTAGAGGTGTTGTTGGTGAAGTGCTTGAAGCTGTAGAAGTATTCGAGTTTGGGGTTGAAGACAGTGTTGAGCTAATCAGTGAAGATGTTGTATTGGCTCCGGTATTATAAGTTGTACTGGCTGATGTGCTAAGACTGTTTGTGGGAGTTGTTCCAGTGGTTGTGTTAAGAGCAGAACCATTCGTTGTGGAAGGAGAGGTAGTTAGAGTAGTAGGCATGACAGTTGTTGTTGTTGATGCAGTGGTAGAAGTAGAATTTGTTCCTCTAACTGGGGTGGAAAACACCGTGGTAGCTGTAGTGTTAATGTTCGCGCCGGTAACTGGAGTCATGTCTGTGGTGGACACGGTCACGTTCAGTGAGTCTGTAGTTCCATTTGTCACCGTTGGATCTGAAAATGCAATGGTAAAAAGAATAAGAAGAAACAGCTCTATAGGTCACTGTACATACAGACCTACCTTGGAATTCTGTCCCTACAGCGCGACACAGCTAGACTAATGGCGTAAGTCAGAAATCGCATACTGTACGTAAAAGAAATGTGCCAAGATACCGATATACAGTACATATCGCAATATTTCAGCTTGCACTGGGTAACCAATACAATAATAATAATAATTGAGTTCCTTATTTGTCTCACAATGGGGAAATTTACAGTGTGAGTTTTGGAAACACAAGACAACACAACAACACCTAACTGTACTCTGTTATACACTCTATCTACACACTGTAGAACTCTATAGTGTGTATAGATAAATGTACTTTATTAATATACTGTAGCTTGCCAATACACATATTCGAATTAAACTTTTAGCAGGATTGTAAATATACTTATACACTGGAGCAAGACATTGCTTTTTTCTGTACTTACAGGTGACGGAGGTTTGTATTGTTGAAGAAAGGACGGCTGTAGTTGCAACAGTTGTTGAATCTGCAAAAAAGATGTCCAATTTCAGTCAAGTACAACAATCTAAGGATTTTAAATTATAAAATGTTTTGATGACATTTGAAATGATCAAAATGTTTTGGAATGAACACACACACACATATATGTATATAGAAGCATTGATTTATAATGATTAATTTTACAAAGACAGCAGCCAATCAGACAAAGTTTACACAGGTTAAAATGTATTGTGTAGTTGTTGTGACTGCAGTGCTGAGATCTGTAGGGGCATTTGTTGGGTCTGTAATAGACAGATGAAGTGATGATGTAGTGAATGAACAGTTTTTAAATGTGGGGTGCAGATGTTAAGGTTAGGCTGCTTTATTATTTTTTATTTGTTTTCTCTGCTTGTTTCATTATTCAACAATACTTACTTGTCACAGTTCGTGGTGTTGAGGTTGTAGATGTAAAGATTGTTGTGTCTGTGAAAAGAAAGACGATGCAATAATGAAGTGAAATAAATCATGCTTGTAGTTGTGGCCTCTATTCCTATTTTTTAGAAAACTTAATAATAATTAATGAGTGGGGGGCAGATGTTAAGGTTAGAGGAAATGTTGTTTGGTTGTCTTGAAATCATTTTAATACCAGCTATTTTGAAAGTGTCTAGTATGTTACAGTAAAAGCTTAAAAATGAAGGACATACTGGTTAAAGTTGGTTCAGTGGCTGTAGTTACTGTAGTGCTGAGAACTGTAGTGGCATTTGTTGTGTCTTTGAAAAGACAGACAATGCAATAATGAAGTGAAATGAATCATGCTTGTAGTTGTGGCCTCTATTCCTTTTTTTTAGAAAACTTAATAATAATTAATAAGTGGGGGGCAGATGTTAAGGTTAGGCTACTTAATTGTATTTGTTTTTTAAATGAAAGTCTAGTGTTTTCTCTGCTTGTTTCATTATTCAACAATACTTACTTGTCACAGTTTGCGGTGTTGAAGATGAAGATGTTAAGATTGTTGTGTCTATGGAAGGAAACATTGTTCATTTGTGTAGGAATCACTGTCATACCAGTTATTTTGATGTCTTCTAAGTTACAGTATCATCTTAAATATAATCCACATACGGGTCAAAGTTGGTTCATTAGTTACTGTAGTGCTGAGACTTGTAGTGGCATTTGTGGTGTCTGTGAAAAGGCAGAATAAGTAATGTCTTTAAAAGACAACCCCAATGGTTGTAGACATGGTAACAATTAGAAATGTGTCAAAATAAAGTTCAGATTTGTCAAAATATCCCGTTTTCTACTGTATGTCTTAAGAAAAACAAATGATGGACTGTGTTGGTCTTCAGAGACTCACCAATAATAGTTGAGTTTGGTGAAAATGCCTCTGATGTGAATTGTTCTTCAGTCACAGTAAAATATATTGAATCTAAAAAATAAGAAAAATTCAAAAATAAACAATACATGGTTTGTATGTGGTATTTAATCTACTTGTGCTGTTGATTAACAATACTTGTCAAGTGTTAATTTCAGTGACATCTGACCAAATAAAGCACATACTGGTCAGAGTTGGTTGTGTGGTTGTTGTTACTGCAGTGCTGAGACCTGTAGTGGCATTTGTTGTGTCTGTGAAAAGAAAGACGATGCAATAATGAAGTGAAATGAATAATGCTTGTAGTTGTGGCCTCTATTCCTTTTTTTTAGAAAACTTAATAATAATTAATAAGTGGGGGGCAGATGTTAAGGTTAGGCTACTTAATTGTATTTGTTTTTTAAATGAAAGTCTAGTGTTTTCTCTGCTTGTTTCATTATTCAACAATACTTACTTGTCACAGTTTGCGGTGTTGAAGATGAAGATGTTAAGATTGTTGTGTCTGTGAAAGGAAACATTGTTCATTTGTGTTGGAATCACTGTCATACCAGTTATTTTGACGTCTTCTAAGTTACAGTATCATCTTAAATATAATCCACATACGGGTCAAAGTTGGTTCATTAGTTACTGTAGTGCTGAGACTTGTAGTGGCATTTGTGGTGTCTGTGAAAAGGCAGAATAAGTAATGTCTTTAAAAGACAACCCCAATGGTTGTAGACATGGTAACAATTAGAAATGTGTCAAAATAAAGTTCAGATTTGTCAAAATATCCCGTTTTCTACTGTATGTCTTAAGAAAAACAAATGATGGACTGTGTTGGTCTTCAGAGACTCACCAATAATAGTTGAGTTTGGTGAAAATGCCTCTGATGTGAATTGTTCTTCAGTCACAAAATTATTTTAATACCAGTAACTGTGCAAATACCTAGAAAATTGCAGTAACAGCTTAAAAATAAAGGACATACTGGTTAAATTTGGTTCAGTGGTTGTAGTTACTGTAGTGCTGAGACTTGTAGTGGCATTTGTGGTGTCTGTGAAAAGGTAGAAAAAGTGATGTCTTTAAAAGACAACCCCAACGGTTGTGGACATGGTAACAGCTGGAAATGTGTCAAAATAAAGTTCAGATTCGTCAAAATAGCTATTTTTTAAATGTATGTCTTTAGAAAAACAAATGATGGACTGTGTTGGTCTTCAGAGACTCACCAATAATAGTTGAGTTTGGTGAAAATGCCTCTGATGTGAATTGTGCTTCAGTCATAGTAAAATATATTGAATCTAAAAAATGAGAAATATTCAAAATAAACAATACATGTTACTGTTTGTGGTGTTTAATCTTCTTGTGCTGTTGATTCACAATACTTGTCAAGTGTGAATTTCAGTGACATCTGACCAAATGAAGCACATACTGGTCAGAGTTGGTTGTGTGGTTGTTGTTACTGCAGTGCTGAGACCTGTAGTGGCATTTGTTGTGTCTGTGAAAAGACAGA